TAGGCGACCCTGCTTCGGCAGGAGGGTTGGACTAGATGACCCACAGAGGTCCCTTCCAACCCCTACCATTCTGTGATTCTGTGATTTTCTTGAGATGGACATGTCCATTCTAGGAGAGAAAGGGAGTGTAAACTTGACATGCTTACTCTGTTTTATACTTTTTCTTCTGTTTTGTGTTTTTTTCTGATAATTGCTGTAATTGCTAATTTTTAATGGCTTTGAGCTGAAACATTAAAGAGCAGAAATCTGCAAAGTGCCCTGGAAGTGGTAAAGGCAAGTTTTGACAGAGAGTCTGTTTCGATTCTTGTCATTCTAGGCTGTCGTCTTTTAAGTAATTCAAACTACAACTATTTGAAATTAGGTTTTTTTATCAGTAGTGCAAAAGACTTAAAACATTAGTTTTGTGTAACTTGTGAATAACATGAAACCTCTTCCGTGTGAATTCATGGTTGCAGTTCTTCCGTTTTTTGTTTGTGTGTGTCTGTTACTCTATATTATCTTTTATCATTCTTTGGCTAAGGAAATGTTAAACACAAGTATCCTGAACTGTCATCTCAAAACGATGTCTTCTCGGTTTGCTGTCAGTTCCCTTATAAACCCGCTGAGCAGATGTTTGCCATGATGTCAGCTATCTGGAAAGATTTCAGGAAATCCTAAGTTTTAGACCAGTAATTCAATTGTTCAGTGGCCATTCTGGATTACTAGTATTGCTATAGATACTGGTACACAGTCTAAATACCGGGACATTTTTAGATGCCATGTTTATCTGTACAGCATTTAGATAAAGTTTGAATTATGCATTTGAAATCCAGATTTTCATCTCTTGTGTTGAAATAAGTGAAAAATTTACTATCAAAATATTCCATGTGCTTGATTCTTCCTGGAGAACAGTAGGACATATGAGCTAATAATTACTTTTTTTTTAGGACTTGTGATATAATTTTCCTCTGTAAGTTTTTTTGCAAATGGACTCTAAATGTACATATACATCATGTGACCAGTTAGGATTCTTAGTTCACTCAAGTCACTTAATGGCCTCATATCGTTCCTCCTTAGTAATAAGAAGTCTCAGTTGATCAGCGGAAAAGAACAGATTTCTGCTCTGAAAAGAAGTCTCTGTTTTTTACTGGTGTTATTCCCTGGTTTTGTTTAAGAATTAGAGTGTTGAGCAACATTCAGAATTCATAGTATCTGTTCCACAGTATTGGTCATTAAAATTTAATCTTACCTCATTCTGAATTTAACTGTTGCCCTTCTCTTTAGTCTTTTTTATTCCATGTTTTTGGTGATATTTAACACAAAACAGACCAGGTTTATCTGATTTTCCTGAAGAGGCACGTGAAGATGCCTCCCTCTCCCCAGTGTTTCAGATAACCTGATCAGGCAGAGCACTTAATCAAAAACCAGTGCAGTATCTGACCTCAGCCCCAGCATTGCTGATTTCAAGGAGGAGAGGGATTTTCTGTCTTCTGCCCCCGTTGCTTTCTCTCCTCCATAGCTTTGTTTGATTTGAAGATAGAAAGGGGCTATGGCTAAGCCCAGCTTCTTACAGACTCTTATACAAGAGAATCTTCTTTTTTTTTCCACCAGAAGTTATTTCTTGATGAAACAGTTCTAAAAAGGAAGAAGTTAAAATCACGTATTTCCTCATACTGTGCTTTGCTGATTACCATGAAGGAGCAGCCTCGGACAGTAGTCGTGAGAGGCCCGTGCAGTCCAGCATCTCGGCTGCTTCCTGAGCCCGCGCTTCTGCACTCCCAAACCTCTCAGATTAATTTGGTGTGGCTGGAAGGCAGCGATAGCCGTGGTGATGCTGAGTGGCTCGTGGTCGTACGGGTAGAGAAGGCAATCGAACCTTTGCTTTCATTTACAGAGTAGCACTGTAAGAGCTGACCCAGCATCTTGCTATGGAGAAAAGTATGGAGAATGGAGGGAAGGAATGTTTTGAGGAAGGAAATAAAGATCTTACTACTTTTTTTGATCTGGTCATCACTAGAAAATAGTCCGATGGCAATTATGTGGGTTTATGGAGGCTGCCTGTAAAAGCTGCTGCTTTCAACTGTGTCTTTTAATTTGAAACATATGAGAAGTTAGTCCAATGGGATATTAAATCCTTACAACAGGCACAAGCAATTTCTGTTTGAAAGTGTGATCCACTTAAGTACCAAGAAATTACCCCTACTTCTGCTGTTTTTTATTAAACTTTGCAGTGAACATGTAGTGAAGATATTGAAATGTGACAAAAAGCAGCGTAAGTCCTGTTGCAATGATTTTTTTTTTTCCTCCCTAGTCACACACTCAACTTCTATCTTTTCTAGCAGTTTGGTTTTTATTCTCTGAAAACCTGAAGATCTCAGGTAGTTATGTCCTTCCAGTACATCTTGTGAGTGAGATGAAGTGGAAGGGATAGGGCTGCACAGTTTGAAATTTTATTTTTTAGTTTGGATATTCAGTGAATGCAGGTGACTTCAGACATCTCTTTTTTGCCTTTCATTATAGACTGGTGAAGCTGTGAATCAGAAATAAGGGAGGGAAGAAAGCATCGGGTACAATACATTCATTTTTTCTTTTTGGTTCTCAGGAACAGAGTGTGAAGCTTCCCTTGCTCCTTTTGCAGGTAACTTCTTGGGAAATCATAATAGTGACTTAAATGGATCATCTCATTGAGCTGGCTTTGGCAGTATAAGGACTCTCTCACCCT